AGAGAGAGAGAGAAGGGGGGGGGGCAGAGAGGGATAAAGAGAGAGATGAAGACAAAAAGAGATGCAGAGAGAGAGACAAAATATGTTTGTTATGTTGAATTTGAACTGACAATGTTGAATTTGAACTCTCTATTGTTACAATTGATCGCGCTCTTTTGATATTTGAGCTTCCTAGTGTTACATTTGCTCTCTCTATTTTGACGTTTGAACTTTCTTTTTGTTGAATTTGATTTGACTATGTTGAATAAATTGTGCTATGTTTCATTTGAACGCTCTATTTTGATATTTGATCGGGAAAAGGTTTAGGAGCAGTATTACTTTATACAAAAAGATTCGATTACACCAATTGAAAGTGCAAAATGCTCAAGAAAATTGAAATGTCCGTTTTCACTAATATTGGGAAATTACAATGACTCCAGTTTCAATTCTGAAACAGCCAAATCTTTTCAGCTCGGAACCAATAGGCACTAAATATCTAATAGTACTGCTGATTGTGTACTATACAGTACCATCAGTGATATTAACTGATGATATTTTCCAATTGTGGAGAAAAAGGAATGACAGGTCCCTCTGACCTCAGAGTTGGTGGTTGGCGGGTGTTCTGGTGTGGTTTGCCTCTTCTTTCCTATCAAACATCTATCGTCTTTATCTCCCCGTTTTCTTTTTTATGTTTGTTACTCTCTTGTAACACCTCTAAATATTCTGGTGCTCATATGACCTTATGCAGTCGCAAGTGCCATAAAACCTCTACTAAAACTAAAAACTGAAAGGTTCCTCTGACTGTATATGTAATCATCTTGTGCAGTTCATTGTAATCATCTTGTGCAGTTCATTGTAATCATCTTGTGCAGTTCATTGTAATCATCTTGTGCAGTTCATTGTAATCATCTTGTGCAGTTGATTGTAATCATCTTGTGCAGTTGATTGTAATCATCTTGTGCAGTTCATTGTAATCATCTTGTGCAGTTCATTGTAATCATCTTGTGCAGTTCATTGTAATCATCTTGTGCAGTTCATTGCATCTTCTGCCCTGATCTTTTTTCTGTTTAGTGGCATTGAGCTGAGTGAAAACTGTTTTTTGTCCTATTTGTTGTTGTTGTTTCTCCCCTTTCTTTTGTTTAAATTGTTGTTGTTGTTTGGTGTTGTTGGGTTTTTTTGCATGATATTCCCCTGTGACACGCTGTGTTTTGTCCTACATTATCCCTACATTTTGTATTACGTTTGTGTTTTCCATTCTGAGTCACTGTTTCTCATCTGAGAACTTCATGCTTCTCCTGTTAATTGTATCGGGAAAATATCTTTTTAAAGGACAACTATTAATTTCTTCATGCACACCTTTATTTGCACTTTTTATATTTGGGTCAGGATATTGTCGCCTCAGAACTATTTACCCCTTGGGGCGGTGCCACTAACTGAAGTGTCTTCAGGCCATTCCCAAAGGGGGACATTTCTCGTTCTAATGCACAGTAGAATTGTAAATGGGCTGATCCAACAATGGCATGCTCATAACTGTGCCTGAACTACAACAGGGAACTGCTGCTTTTTCTTTCCTAATCCTTACTATGGTCATATTCCTCTGCTTCTTTTGTATGTTTGTCACACTCTTGTGACCCGCTATTTCCAGGGTGCCTTGATAGTCGAAGCAGACTTCGTGCTGTTGAAGCTAGAGAGGTGAGCAGAGTAAGTCTGATTCCCTGTAAGGACTTCTCTGTTGACATCCACCCCTTGGCGCTCATATGACCTTATGCTGTTGCTAGTGCTGTAAAACCTCTACGAAAACAAACATCTGAACTATTTGGTTGAAAATGCACTCTATAGTAAGTTGAGTGCACTGTGGACAAAATAGTTCTGAGGTGATGATATGTTGCTTCTTCCATTTTCAAGTGTAGATATAGTATAGTTTAGTGTTACCTCGCTTTTCAATCCATCTACTTTTTAAAATCTATACTCTAAAACTTTTGTGTTTGTTTGTTTTTCCTAGGTGTACCATGCATCAGTCTTCAGGTTGACATATGATTCTGACATGATATGATACATCTTTTTAGTGAGAATAATCTGTTTATAGGTTTTCAAAACTTTTGTCAGTTAAAGTTAAAGCGATAGTTCTCAGGCAGTACAAGTTATAATAAGTATGGTTTTTTGTTTGTTTGTCGTTGTTGGGTTGTTTTTTGGGGGGAGGGGTTGGTCTCGGGGGGTAGTGTGCTTCCGACTTTCTATCAACAGTGCTACGGAATGTCACTTGCATATATGGTCTATTTTCCTAATAATAAAAAGGGTTGTTTTTTTTTGTTACAGGCAGCCATGTACTGTTTCAGGTTCTTCCAATTTTGTTAAGTAGTTGATTAAACAGGGTAGGGTTCGATTTTGAATTTACTCCTCTGCTACTTTCAGTTATCAGTGTATCTTGATCAAATGTAATGTGCACAAGATCTGAAAAGCTTTTGCAGTCCTTGTTAAAATAATCATGGTGCTCATTCCTGCCTACCAGGGGATCAGAAGTGTGAAAAATAACTTCACAAAGTGGGTGGCTGGCGGGTGCTTTGGTGTGGTTTGCTCCTTCTTTCCTATCAAACATCTATCGTCCTTATCTCCCCTTCTTCTTTTTTATGTTTGTTACTCTCTTGTAACATCTCTAATCTTCTGGAGCTCATATGACCTTATGCAGTTGCGAGCGCCGTAAAACCTCTTCTAAAACTAAACGAACTTCACAGAAGTTAATCCTAAATTGACTGCCAGTCATCTTGGCAGGAACTGGGACTCGAAGGAGATACTTAGGCATAAGAGACAAGCAGTTCTGTGCTAATGAGCCCCCTCAATGAGAAATTTTTTTCCTACTTTATAGGAAAGAACTGATCCTTTGTTATTTGCCACTTCCTATTTGGAAAGGTAGACTTTCGTACAATTGTCTGGTATGTTTGTTTGAAAAGTCTCTGGACAGACACTGCAGTACATAATGAACTGACGACAACCCTATGAGATGTGTCGTATACAGTGGTGTCCACCAAACAGCAACCCCTTTGGGAAGCAACCTTTGGTTGCTGTTAAGCGGAGGTTGTCGCTAACTGAATTTTCAGGAGGGGGGGGGGGAGGAAGACACCCCTTCAAATACACACACACGTACAAACACACACGCATACACATAAGCATACACACACAAGTTTTCATCACAGATTATTTTGTGATGTTGTTACTTCAGAGAGTGGCAAAATAAGTAGCATCAATTTTCAAGTGAGCTGATGCTCAGTTGCAGGGCGGTGTTGTTAGGCACAGGGACCAAGACTTTTACACACGTGCGTGCGCACATGCACACACATACACACACGCGCACACACACACACACACACAATGAGAGACTGACCCAATTTCAATTCGTGAGAGGAGAATTTTCATGGAGTATGTTGGCCTTCTGATGGGAGATTGTTTCCCTCTCAGCTCGGGATGGTTTGAAATTATGTAAATTTTGTCAACAGGGGCGAAGCTTACATTTTACTTTGTTTCTTTCTAGAATGGTGTTTCTTGGCGAGAGGGTGTGAACTGAACTTGCGTACTCAGAAAGGTGTATATTTGGCTGAAATAAGTGATGTCAAGAGGTCAACGAAAGAGGAGGGTTGAAAATATAGTCCTTTCTCATTGTTCACACTGTTTTAAAATGTTGAAATAAATTCTGTTAGACAATTTATGGCAACGGTGGTTACTGTTAAAGATAAAGGTAATTGTTGCAGTAAAAGGTAGTTGTTTATAGTGGAAAATTCTGTACCACAAGCCAAGCTGAGGTTGCTGTTAGTTAACTCCCTGAAGACGAAAATTCTGGTCATTCGAATGTTTGAAGGTTAACGTCGTTATCCATACAGATGTTCCCGATATAGTTTCTTTTTTTTTGTGACCCTTAAACAGTTAAAAAAACAAACATGTACTGTGAAATGTGCAATTTTGTGTTTTTGGTTAGTGCGTGTTGGTTCAAAATGAGCTTCAACATTGCCCTTGATCTGTTTCTGGTCGGACAAATGTGTCCAATACGTCCCTAAAGAGTTAAAGGTTGCTCTGATCTGGGTTGCTGTAAACACTCGACAGTCACGCAGCCAGCAGTACAAAAGTACGCCATCTGGTCACCCAGGCAGGAGAATGACTGCAACAGACTTCTCGGGCACTGTGCCAGGTGACCGGAACGGATAATTTTCACCGTCACATTATTGCGCCAAGTGACTGCTAAGTGTTAGGCACCACTGTCTGTATGTTCATGTATAGAGTAGCTGGTCATGGGTCGTAGGTGGCTGGCGGGTGCTCTGGTGTGGTTTGCTCCTTCTTTCCTACCAAACATCTATCGTCCTGGCCTCTCCTCTTTCTTTTTTGTGTTTGTTACTCTCTTGTGACATCTCTAATCTTCGGCACTTATATGACCTTATTGCGTTGCAAGTTCCGTAAAACTCTTACTAAAAGTGAAAAAAAAGGACATGAGTCCTTTTCTGGTGGACCCATCTGACAATGAAAGTCAGAATTCTGTTAGGTTAACCTTTGGTTAAGTAGTAATTACTTATGTTATCTGAACTTTCATACAGTACATGGCTGCCTGACACTATAAGGGACACGACAGTGACTATAAGATCAACAGGTAATGCTGGCAGATAAGCTTTGGGCACTCTGTTAGCTCAGTTGGTGTCATGCCGGACTACATAGTGGATGGCTCTGGTTTGAATCCAGTGTGGAGGTTGGTTTCTTTTACTTTTACCCATATCATGATATGTATGGTGCCAAACGCGAGCGCCGTAAAACCTCTACTTTAAAAAAAAAGGTGGCACCATCGTCACGAGTGGAGAAAGGATGAATCAGCAGAATTTGTCTGATCCTCCCCAGGTTCTGGCTCGCCCGAGCTGTGGAGAGTTACCTCAGGGGGGACACGTCCTACTGTGATCAGATCTTCCTCATGCGCCGCGGACTCCTCACCGTAAGTGAAGAAGTCTTTTGTGTCGACGTTTGACATTGTGGGATGGGAATAAAGGGGGGGAAAAGCCTGCTTTTATTTTTTAAAGTCTAAACAGTTGCAGGGCTCTCGACGTGGTGATAACATGTTTTGTGTTGTCACATTAAAGGCTTACAGTGTAACTGTTGAAAGGACCTTCTATTAGCTCAGTTTGTGTCTTGCTTGATGGCAGAATGAGTTACCGAGATGAAATGCCCTTACCAAACTTTTTCTTATAGCTTAAAGTGTGTGGAAATGTAAATGTTCCCCCACTTGACTTGGCCTTGTTGATTATGGAAATTTAAATTTGGGTGTCCAGCCTCATATATAATTTATCAGTGGTGAACCAGTACCAAACAGAGTAGATAGAACTTGTTTTTTATCTTCCTTTATGGTGCACAGCATGTCAGTACGTTGTAGGTCATTAGTGAAGACTTTTTACTTAGAAAGTGATGCAAGAGTAAATATAAAAGATTTTTACATTTTTGTTAAAGAATTCCCAGAACACAAATATTATAAAAGTGGTTAGTCACTTCTATTTTGTGAAATACTTTCATTTCTTAGACATGGTGCTCCTCTTTGATTGGTATGATACCAGTGTTGAAGTTTCCAATTTTTTGTACCAGCATTTAGCAAGACACTTACATCAATATGTTGAAGGCCCAGGAAGTTGTCTCGCTAACAAGGCAATCCCCAATGTCCGGATCGGATGCGGGAACAACTTTACTTAATTTAACGAGAAGAAATGTCTCTCAGTGTGTTTTCTGTCGTCTTGCCTAATGCTGATTTTCCTTCCTTTGCTACCATTGCGGTGGTTCTTTCAGCATGTTGCAAGTAACATTGTGGAGAATGAGATTCGCCACAAGGAGATTCTACAGAGCAGCTTTGACTTGCTTGGGGAACTGATCAAGTTCAACATCGAGGCCTTCAAAGCGTTTGATGCCATCCTTACGACGGAGCAGAAGTTTGAAAAGTTTGTCACCATGGTGAACCGCAGTCTGGTGGACTCCAACATGTTTATCCGCAGCCTTGTTTTGTCATTGGAACATTTCCGCTCTGAGGGCTCGGAGAAAGGTGAGTGTGTGGTTGACGGGTGCTCTGGTGTGGTTTGCTTCTTCTTTCCTATGAAACGTCTATCATCCTTATCTCTCCTCCTTCTTTATTGTGTTTGTTACTTTCTTGTAACTGGGCATTTTCTTAAAAGCTGTGACCAATGTTTTTGTATGAGTTTGCTCAACACCAGTCAAATGACTATTGCAAAGTCATTTGACTTTCTCATGTACACATGATTCAAGCATAATAACTCTGCTCAAAAAGTGATAAGATCAAGATTTTCAGCTCCTGAGTAAAAATTTAGATTTGTGTGAAGTTGTACTTTTCTGATTTTGCTAAATGGTAGGTTTTTTCTTCTTTACCTTCTGTCTATAGTTTTTACTTGTCTGTCATTCTTTTTGCGGGTCTCAGCATGAAATGTTTATTATGACTTTAATGTGTTTCAAATCAACCAAGGTTTGGCTCACCTTTAAGCCCCCCCTTTTTTTAACAGTCATCTGTACATTTAGTACATACAGATATTAGTTCCCACATTTCTACTTTGTTTGCTTTGCGAGCAGTTGGAGTGTGCCACTGTTAGGTCCTACTTCTTTTCTCTTCCTCTCTTGTTTCTGTCCATCTGTCTCAGGACAGTGCCACTGATTTAAGTGTCTTTAGGCCATTCCCAAAGGGGAGACATTTCTCGTTTAAGCATAGTAGAATTGTAAATGGGCTGATTTATGTCACGCTCATAACTGTGCCTGATCTACAACAGGGAACTGCTGCTTTTTCTTTCCTGAACCTTACAATTGTCATTTTCCTCTACTTCTTTTGTATGTTTGTCACTCTCTTGTGACGTGCTATTTTGGGGTGCCTTGATAGTCGAAGCAGACCTTGTGCTGTTGAAGCTAGAGAGGTGAGCAGTTTAAGTCTGATTCCCTGTAAAGACTTCTCTGTTGACCCCCACCCCTTAGCGCTCATATGACCTTATGCAGTTGCGAGCGCCGTAAAACCCTCTACTATAAAAAAAATGTCTTACTTTTTCCATGCTCTAAATGATCATTATTATATTTTGGATTAACTGCTCTTCACTTCAACTTTGTTTGCTCTTTCTGTTCAGCCTTGACTCTACTGGTTCCAGAGGGTGAGAAAGGTGAAAAGAAAGAGAGCAAGCTGGTGAACTACATCGGAGACTTTTCGCGACAGCTGGATTACCTGTACAAGCTAATCAACATCATCAGCGTGCAGAACCTGACTCAGGAGAACGTGAGCTGCCTGAACACCACCTTGGTCTTCCTCATGTTCGCCAACAAGCGGAGCCAGCTGCCGCGCTACCTCCAGGCGCTCAAAGACGAGCAGGATGATGCTCTGGAAAACGTCAATGGCTCCTCCAGCGTTCTGCAGAACTTCAGGTTGGTGTGGGCTTCTCTTTGCTGTTTTCAGGATTTTTACAGACAGGGCAGTTAGGTCTTTCCAGTCTCGTGAAAACCCCTTGTACCCTCCTATCCTCAACATGACTGGCCTCTTCTCAGGGTGGGCAGGCAGTTCACAGACACCCCAGTCCAACAAGATAATAAGAGAAATGTCTTTGAATTAAGGTGCATGGTATGGTATTGATTTTTGAGGGGGGGGAGGGGGGTTGGGGGTGGGGGGTAGGTCTGGTAGTTATGCATGCATTTTCATGCTCACGCATAGCTGCCCACTGTCCCGGGCCATCCGTATTTTGTACGGATTTTCGTGAAAAATCGCTGTTGTCCCGGAAATACGGATTTTGACCAACGGTCCCGGAAAATAACAACTTGGCAAGCATACTTCTAAAACAGAAAAATTAGCCTTCTGTTGCTCGGGAAAATGACAAAAATTCGGGAGATTCCCGAAAAATTCGGGAGAGTTGGCAGGTGTGCAGTTTCGACAAAGTCAGCTGATACGCATGCGCGGTGCTCGGCCTCTTCATTCGTTTGAAAAGATGGCGTCAAAATGTTCGGCGATGAGTTCTAAGTCCGACTCTGGACCAAGTAAAGCAAAGAAACCGAAAAGGCAGCAAGTTTTTCTTGACAAATACAAGGTGTCCCTGATAATTAGTCAATGTCCCTGATTTTGAACAAGGCTGTCCCTGATAGCCACAGAGAGGGGTGGGCAGTTATGCTCACGCTATTTGAGAGGGAGATGCCAATTGTGTAAGTTGTAATTCCCTGATAACTGTCAGGAGCAGTAGACTTGATTGTAGATTATAAATGTTTGCAGGTGTTGATACTCATGCATGTTTAAGTAAAAGGAAAAGGGGGAGCGGGGTCATGCTAATAATCAGGTAGAATTGAGAGATACTGTGAATTGATTCTCTCACTGTAAAGATATCAAAGAGCCAATCCGCTTTGTGAGTCTACCGCCTCTCACCCACCAGGATGTTTTGAAAAGGACATTAGTCATTAGTTTAGATGTCAAGAGTTTTTTTAATCAGCTGCAATAGATCTTACCTACCATGTAAGCTGTGAAGTGAAATGTGTGTATTAAAAGTGTTGTGAAATAAAAAATAATATGAATTATTAATTTATTTGTCAATATTGAATTTTTTATTTCTTTTTTCTTCAGAGACTTGTTAATATTTTGGCAAGATCATTATCTACATAAAGACAAAGACTGCAGTGCCTTGGAAAAGGTGAGGACCCACTAATCTATTGCTTTTTGTAAATTGTAAAATGTTTTAAGCCACACTGTTGTCTTAAGTCAATTTTATTGTTGTTATTGGAAAAGGGTTGCACTCAACAACATTTATTTCCTCCTGTACTGTTTGATGAATATTTTTATTAGCAGGTTTGCACATACTCAGATCAATGTTTTTTTCTTTTAAACTTATGGTATTGTCAAAATTCTTTAGAACAGGCTAAATGTCCAAACAGATAATTGAAAAAAAAGGGGACATTAGTTCACTTCAGTAACTGATGGTATGGAAACAAGTAAGATCGGTCATAATAGCGGCAACCACATTAATGGCAGAAGAAAGTGAAACCTTTCTTGTTCTTCGTTGCTAAGTAGTTGAAATAGAGCTCTGTGGGTGCTGATGTTGTGCGTTCTCTCTCTTTCTTTCCTCAGAGTTCAAAGATCAGTTTTGCCTACTGGAAGACTACAGTGTCCATGCTTGTGTCAGAGGACAATTCCCTGCCTACTTCCGTGTCTTTCTACATCAACCCTATGCCCAGTGACAGGACCAACTGACCCCCCCCCCCCCCCCCGTATCTCTCGGTTGTCCCCAAATTGTGCATGAATTCTGCCATATGTTCGAAATGAAGTGAAGGAGGAAGTGTTGACTGATTTCTCCTACAAAGAAATATGATTTACCGTCGTTCTTCTTCACTCAGGTGGATATTTATTTTTTTGCATCAGCTCTTTGTGTGGTCTCTCCATTCGACTGCTGTGCAGTTGATAAGATGCATCTGACACTTTGGCTTGATTCTTCTGTTGTAGACATCACATTTCTCATTTCTACGGACATTTTTAACGCTTTTCTGTTTCACCCTGTTGTTTCAGATTAATGTTGCCTTTTCATGCAGCTTTTTACTTTTGGACTTGAGGATGAAGACTCTGGCCTTGTTTACTGCGACAGGGGGATTATGTGTTGGCAGACATTCTCATAATTTTATACAGACTTTTTTTTTTAATCATGTGGGTATCATTACTGCTTACATTTGTTATTTTACTTAAAGAGAACTGTATACCTCATCAATGCAATCTGTTCTCTTTGTGTGCGCTCCTGCCTGCTTGGGACCTGGCCGTTGTTCTGGAGAGGTATTTTCAATGTTGATAGGTTTATTGAAGCACAGGGTTTGGGCTGCCGTGTACGTGTCATTGCCTCTCTGAAACATGCAATGCACTGTTTTATACGGAGATTTGACCAGCTGGAAGTTCACTTGAGGTTCTGCTGCATGTTCAGATACTCAGGGAAGTCATTTTACTTTTGATGTAAAATGTCCGACGGAAACAACGCTTCTAATATGGATTTAAAAAAATATTTTGTGCAGGAATAATGATACTATGCGTAGTGACCTTTTTAATACATATTGCTTTAGGGTTAGCACATTTTGCCACAAAATCCAAAGTTTTGTGCTGAACATTTCATACATTGTAAGTCTGAAATGAAAGACGAAGCTGTGTGGTTAGGAAACAGCGCCTGCATCTTAACTCTCAACAGTTTTTTCCTCTTGAAAATGGAACAAAAATGTATAATGGTTTTTGGGGACTATGAATCTTGTAGTTTTATCAAACTTACCCGTTTTGATGCTTCTTCTTAAAGTTTAGACGTGATTTTGGTTAGTAAATTAAAATGGGGGGGGGGGGGGGGGTTGTTTTCTTATATGGAAATCAGCGTCGTTTTTTGCCAAAATTACTTCCCCCTGAATTCCTTTTTTTATCAACAAAGATTAATCCAAAGCCTAAGAATTCACCTTTTAGTTATGAAGAGTCATCAAACTAATACAGCTGCATGTCTTGAATAGTGATGCTTTGGAAACCTTTGTGGGTTAAATATGTAAATGAGTTGAGTGGAATCTATGATTTTTGTTAAATAACAACCCCCCACAGTATCTGCTTCTTAATGGTAAAACAAGTCATAAAAGTGGACATATTTATCAGATTCTCTATGTTATGACAACAATTTGCTTTTGAAATGTGGACCAGTAGATTATTCCCCCAGTATAGCTGTCAGCTCTACCAGTTGGTTTAAGATTGCTCAAAACTGGATATCTACAGACACCCAATAAGTAGGTCAACAAGTAAATTAGACATCACATGCACATGATTATTGTCTCAAATCAAAGTGTTTTCAATAACCTGTTCTAGTGATGTATAACACTTGTTGAATTGACCATTTCAAGAATTTGTGAGACTTTTTTTTTCTTTCATTTTCTATAATTGGCCAAAACCCATTAACAGTTGAGAGTTAAAAATGGTAGGCTGTATGTTTTACTAACGAGGAAACTAAGCTTTTTTTCTTTCATTGCATTGACTCAGGGCCGAAACTCGCCAATAATGGTATTTGTTGGCCACTGGCAGGACAGTTATGAAACTATTTCATGTAGTGTTCTTGTTTATTTCATCTTGTGCTGTGCTCTGGACTCGTTAGCCGTTGTAAATTTATCTGATCCGTGTTTCTGTCCCATGATACGTGTACAAATGCAGTGTGTTACTACTATATAGTGAGTTGTCCATCTCAATGAGCTGATATCGTCTTATTTAGAGCATTTTTCCATTTTCAAATAATCCCAGCATTAGTGAACTACGAGAAATTGGGAAGATTGCCTGGTCCATTTCTGTTTTCATTTTCAATTACATGTACACATGATTTTACTTCCTATATTTACCTTTAAACAAGGACTGTAAACAAACAAGATGTTTTAAATTCCTTTCCTTTTAGTAAACATACTTTCCTTTGAAAAGACTTCTGGTAGGTCCTTTTGATAGTGCTCCTCAGTTCTCATTTGAGAGATTAAATTTATCCTCTCTTAGCTGAATATTTATGTCATGTGCTTGTTTGTGGACTGAAATATAGACGCTGTGGAAAAATTTTACCATACACACATTTTTACTGTTTGCTTTACACTTTGCTATTTAATTACAAATGATAAGGTTATTGTGGGAAATGGTGTATTGTTAATAACATTTAATGTCTTCATTGAAACATTGTAGCTAAAGCTGATGTGCGGAAGCATACTTTTTAAATGTCTGAAATTTGTAAATTTGTTGAATGCTTTAAAGGTGATGATGAAGAATGATTTCTGTGGTGGAAATTGCAGTCTGCATTCTCCAAATTTCAGTCATTTTGAAAGATGCAATTTTTTTATCAAAATTGTAGGATATCTATATATCTTATGAAGTGGGTTCATTAGTGACTTACAAAGTTCGAAAGAGCTAGTGTCGGTGAGCCTGTTAAAACTCCCGGCTTTTATGTATCACTTTTATGGCGCTTCAGAAAAAGCATTTTTATGAAGTCAGGGTTCCTTTTATTCGGTTGTACAAAAATGAGCAGAAAATCAAGCAGCTGCCTCCAGTGCTCAGCGAGTTCTGATACAATCCTGTACAAAAAGAAAAGCTGAATGATACAGGATTTTGGCTAAAACATGTACACAAGTTTGTGTCTTCACAACACTCACTGGTTGCTGTTTACAGCAGCTTGGGCAGAGTAAAGGAATGCTGGCAGAGAAGTGAAGTGCAATATTTTATTTCTGTTTGCTTGTGGGGTGGGGGGAGGGGGTTGGTGGAGTGGGTGTTGGTGGCAAGAAGGCATTTTCATATTATGAGAAATCTCAGCTGGATCTCAGAATGCCTTCTATTTGTCTTTTGTATCTATTTAATGGATGTGCCAGAACCAGATTTTCAGCACCAGTTCTCTAGTATTGTGACGAGGTGTTTGTATGGTCCTTGCACTGCTCGCCAGCCATATCATTTGTTCATAACTGGGGCACCGGCACTTGACTGAAGACTTCTATTATGTAAAGAGTTGTTCTCATTGTTGATAAGGTATATGGGGAAGTTAAGTTTGGCCATGTGATTATTCTAAACTTTTTTTGTTTGTCAAGCTCATATGTGGGAATGTGTGGAGGCATAATACAGCATACACATTTCTGCAGGGATGCTTACTGAAAAGTCAAATTTTCAGTGGGTTTTGGGGCAAGCTGAGAAGCTCATGAATGGATCGAGAAAGCTGCACGCTTTGCTCTGTGCTGAATTGTACTTGTGGAATATGTTGTGTACACTGAGACTTATTTATGTTCCCTTTTGTGGGCTGAGGGAAAGAAAAATCACGAACACATGCGTGCAGGCTGCTTCATATTCACATTGTGAGTTTGGTAGTCGTCTTGGTTGTCTTTGTGATTTCTTTTTTCTTTTGTTACAATTTTTGCGGACAAGCTTTCTCTGGCTGATGGCCGGTTCTCAGTCATATGTTTTATTGAGGACCATTCATAATGTACTATAATAACTATTTTCATTTTTCATATTTTGACTGGTTTTATGTTATTGTCATGATTACACTTTTGAATGTGTGTGTCAGTGTATTTGTTCATGAATAAGTGAGTTGTGGGTGTCTGACTATTTCCAGGCATAAACTAAGGAGAAAAACAAAAAGAAATAAAGATTCACTCGCTCATATTTTACATTTGAAGGGAGACTTGAAAGAAAAAGTATTTTTATCTATTCAACTACAGCCAAACATAGAAAGGGTTAGTGAGTTTTGTTGACTGATTTCTTTTTCTAACCTGACGCTTGAGTATTGAAGTTGCACAAGGTTAACGGCTTTTCTTTGTGCCAGGAGGTAATTGTATAATCTCCCTAGCTGCCCAAGTTTAGCCTGTTCTGAAACGTTACCTCCTGTGCTCCACTCAGTAGTGAAAGAGTCTTTCAAGTTGAGCTTGTGAACTTCTCTTTTTTAGAAACTGCTTGATTTACCATTTCAACCTAAGGGAGCTGTCCTTATACAAGCCCTGAATCTTGCTTTCATGTGACCGTATGCAGTTGCGAGCACCGTAATACCTCTACTAAAACTAAAAATCCCTGAATCCTTAGAACAAAGAAATTAATCACCTAAAGATACCACATGTATCCTGTTTAAAATTGAGATCATTTCACGGGCTGAGTTATCATATATTTTCGATGTTTTCTTAAATTTTTCAAAGTTTCAACACCCATTGCACCTTCCATTTTATCATTTTTTAAGAAAAGTTCACCCACGCACTATTTCTGGATCGATGTCTGCCATTTCAAAACTGGAAGAATGAAGAGCAACTCTATACTTTGACTTAATGTAGCCTCATTTTATATCTAATGGGACTTCTTGTCTAGAAATTATAGAAATGCATACCAATGGTAGGAGCGGGGGGGGGGGGGGGGGGGTAGGCGTTCAACAATATGTCGCAACTGTAGAGGTTGAAATGTACGCAGATTTTTTCTAAGGAAACTTTCGGTGCAGAGTGGGTTAGAAATGATTAGCATCTTGTCTTTTCGCTTTTTTTTAGAATATGGGGTCCAAGATGTGGAAACATTGTGCACTGCCATCAAAGGTGTGTAGTGTTCCATGTGTCCGTAATATTAGATATATGCCCGTGAGAAAGTGGATATTTGTGACATGAGTGAGGATTGTTCTGGATTGATGAAAGAAAGAGGGATAAATGTTGTGGTCCTGTAGCTGTTTATTTCCTGGTAGATTCCCTGTGAAGTGTGCAGCCCATTCTTTCCTCGTAAAATGAATGTGGCTATTTTGGAATGAAAGTCTGTGGGTTGGCTGGTGCTCTCCGGCGTTGTTTTCTCTTCCTTTGTAATCAAACATCAATTGTGCTTACCTTTCCTCCTTTTTTGTGTGTTTGTTACTCTCTTGTAACACTTCTACTCTTCGGCACTTATGTGACCTTTTATTGTGTTGCAAGTGCCGTAAAACTTAGGAAAACCAAAGAGCCAGCAGCAAGTTCTCTTTGACTGAGCCCAGTTATTCAGATCATACTTACCAGTCATGGAAGGGGACAGTCCATACTGTTTTGTGCGAAACTACAGCATTACAAATAAAAACTTTATAGATGAAACATTCTTCACAGTTTTGCTAGCTAAATGGTTCATGCTGGCAATTGGAACTTTAGTTGTTCTCTTTGAGTGCAAGGAAAGGATGGCAGTAAAAGGTCTCCAGAAGTGTTGGGCAACAGTCTGAGATTACGTTATCTTTGGGATGGCTTGAATTTGAAGTTGTGAGTGCTAACTTATGGTCATGTATAAGTGGGTGGTTGGCGGATGCTCTGTTTTGGTTTGCTACTTCTTTCCTATTGAATATCTGTCATCCTTGTTTCTCCCTTTTTTTTAAATGTTACTAGTATACCTCTAATCTTTGGCACTTATATGACCTGATTGTGTTGCAAGTGCCGTATAACTCTTACTTAAACTGCTCATTATCTCCCTGAAGGCTTACAGAATCTTCCGTAGACTGATTTCTTCATAGCACCTTGACTCTACTTGGGCTTAGATGCATTGTCCCTCACCATATGTGGCACATAGCTTTTTGATATCATGCAGGGAGTTTTCAAGACTCCTCTCCTCCCCCCGTATGGTTCTTTCCTCTCAGAGATGAACATCAAATGAGTGGTCCAGCTTCTTAAATGACTAACTGCTTTCTGCTTGTCTTTTCCTGATCCACTAGTGCATTGTGGAAGGTTTTAGAGCTGTGTCATTGTGGAAGGTTTTAGAGCTGTGTCTTTGTGAGGAAGCTGTTGAAGTCTCTGTTTTTCCCTGTTGAAGTATGTTTTTTTTTTCTTTTTTAAAAAAGATTTATGCACATTCCTTGTATGTGAAACCCGTTGAAAAGCAGAACTGTTAACGTAATGAAAGTGTACCAAATGTATTACAGTCAAGCCTTTGGATCCCTCTAAACACAACCCTGAGTTTTTGCTAGCTGGTATTCTAGGAGGCTGAGATGTGGCCCATTTGAAATCACACAAATCACTGTCATGTCTTTCTTGGATTGAGGAAGGGAATGTTGTGATGATGCTGTGTCGTGTGTACTGTGAAATGTGTGTCTTGATGTCAGGTTGAGTTCTTGCAAATGTTTGTAGGACCGAAGGGAAGCGTATAGAGTCATGTGTGAATGTGTCGATAGAGGACATGCCTGTTGTGAATTTGATAAGTTTCTTTGTGTGTGGCAATGCTGTCATAGGTCACAATGGTGGAAACATGCAGTGGCCTAAAAGCAAAATGTGAAGTCTATGTACTTTTATGGAGGCCTATAATTTGTCAATCTCTTTTTGTAAATATCAAGAGACAAGGGAGAACGAGATTTGGAAATATCATCTTTGCCATGCCCCTACCCACCCATCCATTTTTAACTGTCACTTTCATGGTATGATACCGTTATGTCACTGTTTTTTGAGAGGCCATCTTTACTTTATCATGTGCTCTGTTGTTGTTTCAATTTGGTTTCATTGTTGTTGTTTTCTCTAAAGACAACACATTTTGGATTCTTGTATATTGTCTGATGATTGGTCTTTATTACAGTTTTAAGAATATGTGAAATTCCTAGTTAAAGCGTGACATATTTCTCTCATTCTCTGTAAAGGGTAACTTATCTTCCCTGTCACCTCCTCAGGTCACTCACTGCCTTGTTCATAACAATTTGCAGAGACATTTTTATCTAAGGTTTTGACTGGTTTTGTCTACTCTCTGTGTATGCCTGCTTTGCTAGAGAGAATGCATGCTTGCTGAAGATGCATTGTGTCTCTGTGAAGATGCATTGTGTCTCTGTGAAGATGCAGATGCATTGTGTCTCTGTGAAGATGCATTGTGTTGTGTCCCCTCATTGTGTCTCTGTGAAGATGCATTGTGTGTCTCTGTAAGATGCATTGTGTCTGTGTCCCTGCATTGTGTCTCTGTAAAGATGTTTTGTGTCTCTGTGAAGATGCTTTGTGTCTCTGAAGATACGTTGTGTCTCTGTAAAGATGCATTGTGTCTCTGAAGATGCGTTGTGTCTCTGTGAAGATACGTTGTGTCTCTGTGAAGATGCATTGTGCCTCTGTGAAGATGCATTGTCTCTGTAAAGATGCTTTGTGTCTCTGAAGATGCGTTGTGTCTCTGTAAAGATGCATTGTGTCTCTGTAAAGATGCTTTGTGTCTCTGAAGATGCGTTGTGTCTCTGCATTGTGTCTCTGTGAAGATGCTTTGTGTCTCTGAAGATGTGTTGTGTCTCTCTGAAGATACGTTGTGTCTCTGAAGATACGTTGTGTCTCTGAAGATATGTTGTGTCTCTATGAAGATGCATTGTGTCTGTGAAGATGCGTTGTGTCTCTGTGAAGATGCATTGTGTCTGTGAAGATATGTTGTGTGTCTGTGAAGATGCATTGTGTCTGTGAAGATGCGTTGTGTCTCTGTGAAGATGCGTTGTGTCTGTGAAGATGCATTGTGTCTCTGTGAAGATGCGTTGTTGTCTCTGTCCCCTCCCCAGGACTTGGATGCAGTGCTGCACCTATTGGACAACTACTGTGATGTCCTCGACATACGTAATATAAAGTTTTTATCAAATGGCAATTAACACGCATGCATGGGATCACCAAATGTTTAATAATGATAATAATAAATAGCATTTGTATAGCGAATGTCCCCACTCGAAAGCAAGCTTTAAGCGCTTTACTCTATATTATTACCCCAGCAGACCATAGAACACTCAGAAACATTCTCAGCTTCCCGGGAAGCATGCAGTCCAAGCAGCTGGTTAAGCGCTCAAACACTAACAAACTGACAAGATCTTTCACTGTCTATAGCTGGGTACCCAAGGGAAATTAGTATAAAGTGTCTTTCCCAAGGACAGAACGTCGGGGCCCCGCAGCTTGAACCCCCAAACCCGCATCCTCACGATTACGAGTCCGGTAGCCTAACCACTAGGCCACCGACACCACAAAGAGGTACCTTTGCTCTTTGAAACAACTTGAAACTTGGTCTCATGGTTTCAATCATGCTAACGTCATGGTGTTGAGCATATTTGAAACATTCAAAACTTTTTCCTTTTTGTTGATGTTGTCGAATAAAATTATGCCAGACTGATGAATCACTTTTTTGACATAAATGGGGGGGCTTAGTACTATAGCGAGTTCGCTTTCGTCTGGCCACCACTTTAAACGAATTAAAGGGAACTTGCTCGGTTTGATCTTCTCATGTCTTTCCATATATAGGTCTAAAAGTTGGATAAGTTGGATGACCAACAGAATCTAAAAGCCCATTAATGAAGGTCACTGCAAACTAAGGTTCTGGCTCGTTTTCTTTGATGTTAGCATAAAGCAGGTAAAAAAAAAAGCAGTAGGGGATTTACGGCATACGACACCAAAAACATAAAAATACTGACCTATTTACATCAACCCCATACTTCAATGATGGAAACACATTACAACAGACAGATGAGTAATTATGAGACTGTTCAGACAGTCTTGGGTGAAAATCTACAAGCTGCTGTTGAAATATGGGGCAGGTGGTGCTGCTAACTCAAAATGAGCAGTTTGTTGGCTAAGTTACTGGAAATTTACTGCATATGCACCCAACGGACATTATTTAAATTTCTTTAATGAAGACCTAAAATGTAGAAGCTTTTTTTATTACTAGATTAAGATTTTTTATTTTGTTACGTCTTTTGTTTTGTCGCTGACCTTCGGGAGTGCCATGCAAAATTACATGCGCATTGTCAAACTAATAAGCCAGCTAGAATTTTTCTAAATGTGGACACAAAAGTGAACAATCTATGAGGTGGGGGGGGGGGGGGGGGCTAGTTGGAGGTTGTAGTAGAATGATAACTGTTTTAGTCTGACCAGTAAATTAAGTTTTCATATTTGTGGTTCTTATTTTTATTAGTTTTCATTCACATGGCATGTTTCTTAACACTACTAAACTGGTTCCTTGTGTCGTTTTCAGCTGTGCGACCTCTCATTTATTTCTAGATTTGCTCCAGTAAGACCTTCACAATTCGCATTTACTCTTTATTTGGACAGAATGACCTGTTTAGATTATTGTAAAATGCATTGTTACTCATTATATTAGAAATCATATAATTTTTAATTCTTTAAAGTTCTATTTAAATAACATGTTTTCAGAAGACAGTAAAGCTTCTGTGATTTGTATTGGAAGTTAATCGCCAAGTTTCATTTTAAAGGTCCAGTTTCCAAGTGATTTTTTTATTTTTGATGAATTGTTCCTGTTGGGGTTGTCTCAAGTCCTGAATTACCACTGTGAGATAGAACTTTTTAACTCAGTGTTCAGAACTATTTCAACGTCAAATGGCGTGAAAGTTGTCCATAGCATTATTCACTGCTTTGTGGTTTTAATTTTGCTGTCACTTTTGCCATATATGGGTTTGCCCAGGCTGCATCTTACTTGT